CATGCTACTGAAGAGGACCGCTGGCCATTTTTAAAAATTCAGTCACCCAAAAAAAGTTTAGAGAACTTCACAGGATACGCATTCTACATACACATCCACCCCCCTCTGTTCAGCTGTTCAACTTTCTTAGCTACAACACCCATGTCTAAGACCGGTTGCTTTGACTTTGTTTTGTCATTAGGGTAGGGGAAAGTAGATAATATGTGACGAATGAGGAAAGTAGATGCAGTAGACTTATGCTTCAATGGTTCATCTCTTAGGACAGTGGTGGACATTGCCATTCGAGAAATAAAACTAAAAGCAGAAGACTATTGTAGTATTTGTTTATATCTGTAATACCTTGGGTATCTTGAATATTACTTTGGTTTTTTCAAAATGCTAGTTTTCTGAAACAAGATATTCTTAAATCCTGCTCAACTCTAATTTTACTCTAAAGAATTGGCTTGCAGAGTATCAAACCCACTGCTTTCAAGCATAGGAAGACTGCCTTGCCTCGTCTAACCTGAATGTAGATGTCTATGAAACTGCTTTTGATGCGTTTCCACCTTACAGACCAAAATAAACTCTCGGCCTCATTTTTCTGTAGACTCTGCACGAAAAGCTTCACATAACATAACCCGACGGCTATCAACTTTTTGTGTTCCTCCTCGTAACGCACTTCCGGAAAATCTCCTGCATCCCATAAGCTAGAATCAAGTTGTTGGCGTCTTGCTCCTGCCCCTATCTTCATCCTCGCAGTTGGCCCCGGAATTCACTTCGTTCTCATGAATGTCGAGCAATGAACGATAGTTTTAAGTGAAGACGAAAATGCCTCCGGCTTTGATTTTCATCTCCAAGGATGTCACAATCCTCTGGGAGGTCTAAGTCATTTGCCAATAACCCTTTGTACGTCAGCCCCTCGCTATACAGTCCCCTGCTCCCTGCATGACCTATACTAGTCGAATAATCAACCCACCCGGCATACACAAGAACCTTGAAGCTTGGACCGCGACGTACCTTGTCCGCCATTGACCAACATATTGACAGCAAAATATAAGCATACAA